GCCGGGGCTGCCGCGGCCCGGGCTCCCTCTTCGGCCGTTCCGCCGTTGTCCCCTCCCCTGCCGGCCTGGGAAAGGCACCCGGCGGGGCCTCCCCTTCGCCCAGCGTCTTGGCAGGGGCCCCGCGAGCGGCGAGAGTGGGGCCTCCCAAGCAGAGGCCGGGCGGACCTCAGAACGCAGGTGCCAGCATCCATATACACACTCGGTACCTCTCCCCTCGCCGCTCTGCGGAGCGTGCGCGAACTCCGCCCCCTTAACGGTGCAAAGCAAGACCAATTATCCCATTTTACAGATGCGTAAACTGAAGCCTCGGGAAGACTCGCGACTAGCCCAACGGCAATGGCAGAGCCAGAATGAAACCCAAACCTCACATCTCAAGGACGTGCTCAGGTCTTCTGCCTCGGCTCCCCTGTCACAGGCGTAGGCACCACGGAGCCCTGGGTGCATGCCTGGCCGTGCACACTTTGACCGGCATCCTCCCTCCTTCCTGACCCCGGTTTCAGGCTTCACACCGCTAAAACGGAGGCGAGTAGGTTCTGGCCCCGGTGGGGGCTAGCACGGGCTGGAGACGGTTGCACTGAGCCTCACAAGTTCCCTCCCAAGAGAAACTGCGGATGATTCGGGAGCCCTAGACCTGGGGTGGCGGAAGTGGGGCGGGGGGATCGCTTTTTTCCTTCCAGAGCTGTCTCCACGGCTGTTGATTTCCCTCTGTCTGTCACACCTCCCCCACTCCTCTCTGCTACTCCCTGTCGCTGAGCCACCGCTGGGCAGAGCCAGATTAAGTCCTTGGGCTGCCCCTCTAGTGGGCACTCACCCTTAGGTGACACCTACTTTGCCACAGGAGAGCCTGGGGAACGGCAAGGTCTCGGTGGGGAGGGTTTCTGGGGTTGGGTGGGCCAGGTAGTGGCTCTGGACTAGCGCTCAGTTCAGACTAGGGAAACTGCAAAAGGAGTGAGATCTGCTGGGAGTCCGCAATAGGCTCCGTGCAAGCAGGACGACGGTCTGTGGCTTCCTGACCCATGGCTACTTATGACAGGCTCTGTGCTCAACAATTCTTTAGAGGCTCTCAGAAAGGTTAAAACTTCTGTGACTGCTTGTATTTTCCAAAGACAGGCACAGTGGTATCTAGCTCATCCCAATTACTCTTTTTATCATGTGTCATTGACTCTCTTCCACTTGGCACAAAAAGTGATGGGGTCTGTGTTCCCTCCTTTTGAACCTGAGCAGACCTTTGTGATTACCTCAACCAGAAGAGAATGGCAAAAGTGACACTGTCATTTCCAAGGCTAGGTCATAAAAGACAATATAGCTCCACCCAGCACAATCTCTCTCTCTCTCTCTCTCTCTCTCTCTCTCCAACATCTCTCTCTCTCTCCCCCCTCACCCTGCCCCACTCCCCCTTCTCCACTCAACCTTGGAACGCAGCCACCATGTTGGGAAGAAGCCCAGGCCTTATGGAGAGGCCACGTGTAGGTGTTCCAGCCAACAATGCAAGCCTTGGTCCCCACTAACCACCAGACATGTGAGACAGTGAACCTTCAAATGATTCAGCCCTCAGCCTTGGAGCTGCCTCAGCTGATGCCAAGTGGAGCAGAAATGAGCTGTTCTAAACTGTAAAATAAATATTGTTGTTTTAAGCCACTAAGTTTTGGGGTAGTTTGTTACACAGCAATAGACAACTGGAATGCTTGTCCAAGGTCATACAGCTTGAAAGCAGTAGGCCTGGGACTGATTTGAAACCAGGGCCATCCAATTTCAGAGCCTGTTGTGTTGCACTATTGAGCAGTGTGCGCTGTACAAAGCTCTTCTCAAGAAGGCATGAAGCAATATACTTGTAAGAATTATATCAGACTGTAAGAAATGAAGATGCCGACTACCCAGAGGAAAAAGTTTGTTTTCTCCCATTCAAGCTGCTAAATCGACCAACGTAATGGGAACTGAATGGAGACTAAATCCTGGAAGCCTTGTAAGAGGAGGTGGTTTTTCTAAAAAACATTTTTGTTTTCATTATATCGATCATGATAAGAACAAACCACTGGCCGAGGGAGAATTAGAGAAACTAGTAGAGAAATCTGCTTTAAACAGGGTAGTTAGAAAGGTCTCTAAGAGGAGGTGAGTTATTTAAACTGTTATTCAAGGAGCCAGAGTAAGAGAATTCCAGGCAGAGGGAACAACAAGGGCAAAAGCCCTGAAGGAGGAACAAGCTTGATAGATGTGCAAGGAAGTGAAAAGGTATGTGTGACTGGAACTTGATGGGTAATGGAAGAAGGATAAGATAAAGCTGGAGTGGATAGCAGGAGCCCAAGCATGCCCTGGGCAAGGGCTTTATTCTTGATGCAGTAATGAGCCACTGGAAATTATAAGTAGGGGCATAATATCATTTAATTTATGTTTCAAATAGCTCACTCTATCAGCTGGCAAGGAGAGATGCTAAAAGATGTGTTAAGTGCTATTGAACCAGTCTCTGAGAGATAATGGTGGCTCCACTCTCGTGGAGGCAGTAGAGAGGGAAAGAAGAGCGTAGTCTTAGGACATGTTCTGGAGCTTCAAAGAGTTAGACATCTTTGGTTGGAGGTGAGGAATCAGAAAAATGAAGTCAAGTTCAACTCCCAGTTTTGGGCTTTATTTACAGGAGGAATGATTTATAAGATAGGACAGGCTGGGAGGTGGTTACGGGTAAGAGAGACCAGGTTTGGAGGAGGAAATAAAAAATATATCAATTGCCTATCTGGGTTCTCCACTTAAATGTATTCATAGACATCTCAGACTGACTGAACCAGACTGACTGAGATGTCTATGAATACATTTAAGTGGAGAACCCAGACAGGCAATTGATATATGAATGTGGATCCCAGGATAGCTGTTCGTCTGGAGTCATGATGAATCATCGACATTTAGACAATATTTAAATCCATGGGACCAGGTGAGGTCACGTAGGGAGAAGAAAAACTGACCTAGTACTAGGAAGTTAAAAATCCTGGTTCTACAAATAATCCTAAAATTTATATGGAACCACAAAAGACCCCAATCTTGAGAAAGAAGAACAAAGTTGGAGGTATCACACTACCTGATATCAAACTATACCACAAGACTCTAGTAATCAAAACAGCATGTACTGGCATAAAAACAAACACATAGATCAATGGAACAAAATAGAGAGCCAGAAATAACCTACGCCTATACGGTCAATTTATCTATGAAAAAAGAGGCAAGAATATACAATGAGGGTAAAGACAATCTCTTCAATAAATGATGTTGGGAAAACTGGACAGATACATACAAAAAAATTAGACCTTGTCTTATACCATATACAAGAATAAACTCAAAATAGATTAAAGACTTAATGTAAGACCTGAAACCATTAAACGCCTACAAGAAAATATAGGTCGTAAAGTCTTTGAGATTTGCTCTTAGTAATATTTTTTTGATAATATCTCCCCAGGCAAGGGAAAGAAAAGAAAAAATAAACAAATGGGATTATATCAAACTAAAAAGTTTCTGCACAGCGAAGAAAACTATCAACCAAACTAAAAGACAACCTTTTATATTCACCAATGATACATCAATAAGTGGTTAATATCCAAAATGTATAAAGAATTCATACATTTTAACACACAAAAAAAATCCAATTAAAAAATAAGCAGAGGACCTGAATCGACATTTCTCCAAAGAGGACATATGGATGGCCAACAGATAAATGAAAAGATGCTCAACGTCACTAATCATCAGGGAAGTGCAAATTAAAACCACAATGAGGTATCACCTCACACCTGTCAGAATAGCTATCATCAATAAATCAACAAACAAGTCTTGGCGAGGATGTGGAGAAAAGGGAGCCCTTGTGCGCTATTGGTGGGATTGCAAATTGGTACAGCCACTATGGAGAACAGTATGGAGGTTCCACAAAAAATTAAAGATAGAACTGTCATATGACCCAGCAATTCCAATTCTAGACTGTTCCATTGAGACGGAGGGGCAAGCGAGAGTTGGATGAGGCAGAGAAAGAGCTGAGGGCAGGAGAAAGGGACACAGATGGATCCCGGGATGGGGACTAACGTTTGAAAGGATTTATTTGGGTAACTACCCAGAATTGGAATTGCTGGGTCATATAACAGTTCTCTCTTTAATTTTTTGTGGAACCTCCGTACTGATTTCTATAGCGGTTGTACCAATTTGCCTTCTCTGCATTGCCCTGGAAGGAAGGCAAAGAGATGGGTAAGATGCAGGTGAGGCTGTCGGGAAAATGAGGGAGTGACCGATGATGGCTTCTGTTTTCTCGATGAAGAATGAAGTCACGAACCCAAGAGTGAGGAGACAGGAGTGAGGGTTGTTTGAGGAGAATGGAAACCAGACTTCCCAGGATGAGCAAGGGAGTATGTCAGGCCATTTATGCACCTGTTTGAAGTTTAAAGTGAAACCAATCAGCCCAGCAAACACTGGGTATATTCTAAAAGTTATTTTCTTTTCAGATTTATTTTGCATAGCTGAAACCGTACTGCACATACAATTTTATATCCTGCTTTTTATTCACTTAATGGGACAGCAGAAGCATTTCCCCAAGTGTTTATAAACTCTTTGCAAACATCACTTTTAATACTTAGAAATAATCCGTGGAGTGAATGTTCCACGGGTCACTTAACCTTTCCCTCTTTTATTGGACATTTAAATTGTTTCCTGGCAATGACTATTGCAGTCCTGAAAGAGGCGGTGTGTGGTCTGGTGAAGAGGAAGGGAGAAGGCTAGCAGCAAGGCAGAGCTGGGACAGCTGGCTGGCTGGCGCCTAGAGTCCCATCATGGAAGTTTTTTAGGAGCCTATTATATGGCAATTGGTATTCCTGACATTCCGGGGTTTCCTGGGCATGAGGACAAAGAATGGGACAGCAAGGCAAATCTCACTGGCCTCTCAAAGTGCCTAATGGTTCAGGTGTAGAGCATGGGGGAAACAGGGTGGGGAGAGGGACCCAGAAAGCATGGAGGGCCAGGTGTGTGACCCCTGAGCCGTTTACAGTTTAAACATTAATTGCAACAGCCGTGTTTGAAGTGAAAACAGGGCCCTTCACTTGCCTGTTTCCTGCATAATACAAGTCCTTCTGGCATCCTACCCTTCCTGGAGAGGAACTGCCCAGCGGACCTGGCCATGGGCAGAATATCTAAGGTCTCTTAGCTGTGTGAGTGAGCTAGTGGGATCACCCACCCAACAGAGGCTGGGGGACCACTTGTGGGGATATTTTCCAGGAGATCCTGCCCTGGGTGGAGGCCGCTCGCTCAGAGACTGGCTGAGGCCCCTTCCAACTTTGAAGTTCTGTGATTCGATAACACAGCATTCACTGAAGTCCCACTATGAGCTGAGGACAGAGAAGTATCCCCCACTGACAGAGTGCCTACTGTGTGCCAAACACTGAGCTTCCTGTGCATAATCTCCCCTAATATCAGGTCAGGCCAATGAAATAAAAAATCACCCCATCTGAGAGAGGGGAACAAGCAAGGGCAGAGCAGGGCTGCTTCTTTCCGCCCCCCAGCCCTGGGCTTCCCCTGAAGAATGGGGTGACTGGTAGAGAACCAAACAGCATAACCCTTTCCTATAGCATTTATACCCCAGAAGGGAAGGGCCTTAGAGTCAGGCACGTGGTAGCTGTAGTAAGAGGCTTCAGGTTAGAACCGAGGAATTCAGTGTCCCACCTCTTTGGGCTGATGGAGCCAGAGCTAGGGGCCAGAAGGTGACAAGGTCTTGTTTGTGTGTGTTTGTGGGATTCGAATTTCTGATAGATGATAATCAGTGCCAGGTTTTCCCAGCTGGAACCAGAGCAGGCACAGGGCCAATGCCTGCTACCCTCTGGGCAGGTATAAGAGCCAGGGAGGAGGGCCTGGACCTGAGTCAGGACAGAAGTGCTAGCCGCCTGCAAGGGGGTCAGGGTGCAGAGCTAAAGCTGCTGCATGTAAACCGCCAGGTGGGCAGAGCTGGTTCTGGAAGTGGCCTCTTCTCTGGGAGATCTGGGAGAAGCACCAAGGAAAGCATCAGCAGGAGAGGCTAGAGGAGGTCACCTGAGCCAGGGCTGGGCACAGTGAGTACATTTCCATGGTTCTGGACTTTCTCCTCCCCCCTGAGCTCTGCACCCCTCAAGGGACTGAGTGACTGTCTCACAGGTGCCTAGATGGGACTGAGTGGCCACTCGTCAAGGATTTGAGCCCTGGATCTCTCAAAGAGGTGTGGTATGTGTGTGGTGTGGTGTGTGTGTGTGTGTGTGGTGTGCAGGGGAGGAGGGGGTAGCAATAAGCACTGTCATTCATTCAGCACTCACCAAACACCAGGCACTATGTGTTATCTCACTGAATTGAGAACAGAAGGATAGAGGTCTGGCTTAGCATCCTAGTTGTTCTGGGATTATCTTCATTTACTCTTACAACAGTCCTATGAGATAAATATGTTACAGGTGAGCAGACAGAGCACAGAGATGTTAAGTAACTTGCCCAAGGTCACATAGCGAGTAAATGGCAAAACCAAGATTTGAATTCCCTCACTCTTGAGCCTGTGCTCTTAACCTCCACGTTATATTGTAGTGTGGCTGTGATTAAGTTCTTTCCACTTTCTTAGTGGCAGTTTTCTTGTCTGTAGTTTGAGAGTGTAAGACCTGATGATCAGAAAGATATTACCCTGGTCTGCGGCCATACGACCCTGAACAAGCCAGATCCCCTCTGATCTCAGAAGCTAAGCAGGGTCGAGCCTGGTTAGTAATTGGATGGGAGATCACCTAGGAAGAACAGGTGCTGTAGGTGTAAAAAATAAAAAAGTAAGGAATTGTAAGCTGACTAGGTCCTTGTAATCTGTGAGGTCAACCAGGGTTACCTTGCCTAAAAAAAAAAAAAAAATTTTTTTTATCTGACAAAACCATCTATGGAAAGTGTACAGAAAACATGAAGATTTGGAGAGAGACAGAGACAAAGAGGAAGGAAGAGGAAGGAAGGAAGGAAAGAAGGAAGGAAGGAAGGAAGGAAGGAAGGAAGGAAGGAAAGAAAGAAAGAAGGAAGGAAGGAAGGAAGGAAGGAAAGACAGAAAGATAGTACCTTGAGTTTCCCTAAAGTTACCTCAACAGCTTTAAGCACCAGAAAACTTGATGGAAACTTTTGTCCAGAGCTATTTGTATACCATTTGATCCAGCATTCAACTTTTGAAATGTATCGTAAAACATAAAATCAGATTTATGAACAAGGAAGTTCATTACATATTTGTTTATAGTCACAGAAAATTCGAAGCAAACCAAATTTGAGGAATAACTGATGCACTATGATAAAATAATATGCAGTCATTAAAATTCATGTGCTCAAAGGGTACTGAATATCATTGGAAAACTCTCATTTGTTAAGTGGAAAAGGCATTTTATAAAACTATACATGATATGATCTATTTATAAATATGTATATGTACATGCATATGAAATAAATATAAAAGCCTGAAAAAATTACCCTTAGGAGTTGATAGTTAATCTCTGAGAAATGGAACTACAAATATTTCTGTATTTTTCTTTATTCTTCTTTTCTAGATTCCTCAAATTTTCTACAATAAACATGTATTACTTTTTTAATTAGAAAAATGAAGAGTTTTTTTCGTTTTGTTTAGTTTTTTAAAGATCTCTTTTTTTGGTCTAGGCTCGGCCCCTTTCAAACTTCTTTTATAAGGCACTCATTGACTTTGAGAGGGAATTAAAATGCAGGCTGTCAGTATTGGGCAGGCCTCTGAAATGACCCGATCCAACACGTTACATGTGAGGAAACTGAGGCCCAAGGGTGCAAGGGATTTATCCAAGGTCACACAGGGAACCAGAAACCCTAGACCCCCATCTGCCCAAAGGGGCACACTCCCTAAATCAGACTGCTAGAAGGGCAAGGAGGTGGAAGAGAATCACACCTAGAATTTACTGCGTATGGCTAACGTGTGTTCATTACTAA